TTATTTATATCTTGCATCAATTCACTCTAAATCATCCTCATTGCAAAATACCTTCATACAATCATCAATAATCTTATAATTCTTACTGCATTCTTTATAGTTATCCTGCATATAATCTTTCCATAATTATTTGCAAATACCACTTTCATTCACTATTGCTAACCTAAACCAGGCACTCACTTACTGATGCTCTCCTAATCTGATAGTAACACTGGATAAATTCCAATCAGATACTTGAATAATAGGTTATAGATATATTTGAAACTCTAATTACATATTATTTTAAGCACTTGCAATAAAAATTATTTGTAAAAAAAAATAAAATATTCATTAGATTAATCCACAGAGGTGTCGGTCATAATCCTGACAAGCATAATCATAATTTCAACAAAAAATCCCAACAATTAAAAATCATAATTTTTGGGTAGAAAATCCAAAATATGGAGTATATTTAAAGTAAAGTAGACTCTTATAATATACTTATCTTTAGGATTAGGTCACTTTAGATAAGGGTTAGGCTTGGGTTAACTATGGGCTATGATAAAAATTTTTAATTGTTAAGATGATGAGAATTTTTTGTCAGGATTATAACTTGTTAAGATTTTGCTATTAAGATTTGATTCAAACTCATCTATAGGTAATCTATAGGTTGGCACCTATATAATAGCTACTAAATATGGCTGTAAATCGATTCTATAATAATCAATTTAATTGTTAATCAAATTAGAATTGATTCTAATTTCTGCACAAATGATTTAATAGTTTCTATAAGCCATTATCAATTTTAAAATTGATTCTTGATTTAGAATCGATTCTAAGATATATAATCGTTTATTATTTAAATATTTAACTATGTAAATTTTCTTTTTGCCTTTAAATAACTAAGAAAATATAAATAGCTATACTTAAATAAAAATTTAGAATGCATTTTTTATTTAAACATTAAGCCTATTGTTTACGCTTAGTCTAATATTTGTTTATTGTGGCTTACAAAAAATAAAATTTTGCAAATCACAGTCCAGATTTTATTGTCTAATTATTATTCAATTGTGCAATTACAAATAATAATTTTAATAAAACTTGTAAATATAACTTCATAATTGTACAATTTGATAACAATTAGATGATTATAATAAATACATCATTATAACTATTATAACTAGAGCAAATACTGTAAACTTGAAGAACAATAAAGTAATTTATCAACTGATGATAAGAAATATAATGAAGATCAATCTTTAGATTATGTTTCTGATAATGATATTTTTACTGGCATCTATAATAAAGCAGTAGTGATAATGAAGAGAAAAATTAGTTAAATTAGTAATCATGAGAATAATCAAAAATTTTATCGAAATATATCTCCTAAACTTTTAATACAAGCAAAAAGAAAAAAAACCAATTAGAATTTCAACTAAACTAAAATTATCATTTATTTAGAAAATTTTTCCTAACCTTGCAATAGAAAAGTCTATTGTCAAATAGCTAATTGTGATGCAGCTCTTGGTTATTATAATATACCATCAATGATCAAAGCTTATCTTCATAATAAGCATCAAATAACTAAAGTTTCATTAAATAAAAAATTAATAAATGAATTAAAAAAGACTCCAATATCACAAAGTCAATTAATATTAACTCAAACTTTAGAAACTATTAAATCACATACTAAACGCAAATACAAAAATTAAATAATAACTTCTTAAATTTATAATTAATAATATTCAACTACTTGCTATCATTGAAGACAAAGATTTTATTAGATATTTTTATGATTTAGATCCTAAATATAAGCTTCCTTGTAGACAAGTTTTAAAAGATAAAATAGATGAAACTTATCATAATAATATTATAAAAATTCAACAACAAATTAATAAAACGAATTATGTTAGTATGACATTAGTTTCATAGTACATATATCTTATCTTAGAGTTATATTATATTGGATAACAAATTATTTTATTCTACATGAAATTCTTTTAACTATTAAAAAAATTTTATATTCTTATACAGCAAATATAATTAAAGAAGAAGTTAAAAAACTTATTAATAAATTTTAACTTGAATCTAAATTATGTGCTATTATTATTGACAATAAAAGTAATGTAAAATCAACTATTAATCAACTTAAAATTAAAATATATATATATTGTATAGCTTATATTCTTCAGTTAAGTATTACTAAAAGAATTCAAGAAATAGATTAATTAGTAATAAAATAGAAAAATTTAATTAAATTTCTATCACAAGATAAAAAACAATAACAACTTAGAGAAGCACAACTTTATCTTATTAATCAACAAAAGATAGTAATAAATTAGATAATAATGAAGAATATATTGTTCTTAATATAGTTAAAGCAAATAATACTAGATAAAATTTAGTTTATTATGTATTTAAATGTTTATTATACTAAAATCTGCTATTGTTATACTTAAAGAAACTTTACTTCAAGATATAAATACTAGAATTAGACAAGAAGGAGAATTATTAGAATATCTAATTTCAACTATTTATAAATAAAAAATTATTAGAGAAGTAGTTCAATTATTAAAACCTTTTGAACAACTTACTAGATTATTTAGTGGTTAATGTTATTTAGCACATAATCTGATTTATCTTTGTATAATGTCTCTTTAAAATTCTTTTTTTAATGAATCTACTAACTATAATACCTCAGAAGCTATAAAATACAAAATTATTCAAGAAGATTTAAGTTCATGTTTGACCTATCCAAATGATATTAGAATTTATGCATCATTTTTTGATTTTAGATTTAAAAATTTATCATTTTTAATACAAATAAAATTTTAATAAAATTATATTAAAATTTTAAAAATTTTAAAATCTTTAATAACTTTTAATTTATTAGTTGTTACAACTATTAAAATAATCATTTTAATAAGATAACTTTAATAAGTTTAAATTTATTAAAATTTAATTACAAAATTCTGATTTAATTAATTTTTTAAATAATTAAAATAATATAAATTCTTAATAATTTTAAGATCCTGTAATTAGATTTTAATAAATTTAGACTTATTAGAATTGTCTTATCAAAATAAATATTTTGATAAATAATTCATTTAAACTGAATCAGTAGATTAAAAGTTATTTGGACTATTATTAATAAAATCAAGCAAATTAATATTTTAAAAAAAATTAATATCTTAACTTTTATTGCTAATATCTTGATAAATTTTGAAGCTATTTTTATAATTAAATAGTCAAATAAAGCTTAAATCTTAAGTTTTTGTTTGACTATTCATTTATAAGAATAATTTTAAAATTTATTAAGATATTTATATTAAAATTAAGATGTTAATTTTTTAAATATTAATTTTCTTGATTTCTATTAATAATAATTTATTTATTTAAAATTTTTAATAAAAAATTTTAAATATATATAAATATATGAAAATTTCTTAGTTTATATATAGTGTATTATACACAGGTATTAATTTGCAAATTTGTATAATGTGCAATCAAAATAATTCATATAAAACAAAAAAGTGAGTGCAGTTAAAGGTTAGGATAAGGGTGAACTGGAGTTGATAGCAAAAAATAGTTTATACTAAAAATTCACAAGGAATTTTTTTTATTAATATCCAAAAGGTGGTTTTATAAATAAAATTTTGAGTTATAATCTATTTTCTAAAGAAAGCAATAATTTTGCATTATATCTGATTGTGTAATCTGATTGGCTTTCTTATTACCCATATATGTATACATAGTATACAAATAGAAATTTTCTAAATATATTTCAATTTATTATTAGAAATCAAAAATTCAAGCAATAAATGAAATTAAAAAAGAATATGAAAATATTACAGATAATTCTGTTTCTCAAAATTTGATATCTCACCAACCTTCAACAAGTAAATTTGCATTGGCTAATATTTTTGTAAAAAGAAATCAAACAATTCTTACTCTAATATATAATAAATTTATTTGTTATCAAAATGAAGATCTTCTTCTAGCTTTAAAAGAATATGATTCTTTTAAATAGTGGCAAATTAATAAAATTTATTATCCAAAATTATCTCAACTTGCAATAAAATATTTATTAACTCCTGCAACCTCTGTACTTTCAGAAAGATTATTTTCTGATGCTGATAAATTAATTACATTTGAAAGAACATCATTATATTCTAATTTAGTAGAAAAATTAATGTTTTTAAAAAACAGTATTTAAAATACCAGTCTAAAAAATTTTGCTGGCCAATCAAATTTCAAGATCAGGTGTAATGTTGCACGATCAGAAAAATTCAAAACAAACGTTCATTTTGTCAAAATCGTCCATAACTCAAAATTTAGTATATAAAACTGCCTTTTGTGCACTAACAAAAAGTTTTCCTTGCGAAATATTGGTATAACTATAACCTTCTAAACCCAACTTTTTAGCAAGACCCTAACCCTAATCTAACTGCGAACCTTTTTTTCTTAGTGAAATTTTTTTAATAAGATCACATGATGTGCGAAATTTTTTTGACTGATGATACTTGATCGCTATTTTTAAAAAGAAATCTGAATTATATAAATATTTAAGCTAAAACATATTAAATAATAGTGTAAGTTTTTTTAAGGATATAGATATAATAATTTATTAATTATATTTATTTTATTTTTTTATTTTTTTGACGATCCTGCTTTTATTATTTAAATCAGAATAACAGAACTTTATATTTACATTAAATATAAATTTTCTATATTATATTCCTGTACTAATAAAAACTTACTCAACTAGTTAAAGCCCAGATGTAATCTGCCTAAGCAGCCAATTTACCTCACATTGAATTTTCAACTTACTGAGGATTTAAACTCTCTAATCCTTGATTGGAAGCTGCCGACCTTGTCAACAATCACCTAATTCTTTCCAATATGCTACAGCTGAGGCTTTGACTTGCAGTTTGATTACAAATATCCTCATTGACCACTTTATTGGTAAGAATTAAATATTTTTATAACCATTTTTTTAATTCATTTATATCTTCTTCTTCATTTTTTTCTTTTTCTGTAGCTTATTATATTCTTCTTTCTTCGTGATTTCTTGAAGAGTCTTCTCTTTCTTCTTTTTCTTTTAATTTTTCTAGCTTAGTTTTTTTCTTTCTCCTTTTTCAGATTTGTATTTGGGCTTGAATTTATCTTCTTCTTTGTATTTGGGCTTGAATTTGTCTTCTTTTTGAATGTTTAGCTTGTCTTCTGTGATCTTGTAACTTTATCTTGTTTGTTGCTTCTTTTTGACTTTCTATTGCTTTGTTTCTTTTCCAAGTATATCTTCTTTCTTCTTTGGTCTTAATATTCTGATCTTCTATATTAGTTGAATGCTGTTTTTCCTCTTTTCTTCTATTTGTTCACTTTGCTTCTTTTTCTTTTTCTAGAAATTTATCTTCTTTATTAAAAGTTATTGTTACCTCTTGTATACTGGTATTCTGCATTTCTATCTTTTCTTTAAGTGCTTTTTTCTTCTTTTTCTTTTTTAGTTTGTTGTTTTTCTTTTTTGTTGGCTTGTTTTCCTTCTTTTTGTTCATATAAGTTCTGCTTTTTTCTTCTTAACATTCTTTTTGGTATAGTTTTGATGTTTCTTTTTACTTCTTCTATAGACTTTTCTGTCTTTTTGGCTTTGGGTAATATACTTGTTTCTTCTCTTTGTCTTTCTTTCTTCTTCCATTTCAAGATTCGAGTTTCTTTTTGCTTTGCTGTCTTTTCTTCTGTACTAGACTCTAAATTTTTTCAAATTTCTTTTATATTGTTGTTGTTTTTTATAATTAAATTCCAGTCTTCTTGTTTCTTTTACAGCTTCTTTAAGAGCCTTTGTAACTCCTGTATTTTTACCTTACTTCCTGTATCTAATATTTCTCTATAAACTATGATTTACTTTGTTTTAATTATATTGTGTTGTGTTTCTATATTGATTCTTTTCAAAACTTTTTTCATTTTAATTCTTTTTATATCCTTCCCTATAGTTTTCTTTGCTTTTGTCTTTATTAGTTATTTCTAGTTTTCTTTCTTTTTTTTGCTAATTTTCTAAGTATTTTCTTTGCCTTGAACTTGAATTTTTCAGCCAAATTTTGTATTGTTTTCTTGTTTTTCTTGACTTGTTTGTCTTTTCTCCATTTGTTTAGATTTTCTGTGCACTGTTTTTCCAGTTCTCTCTCATGTTGTTTTTTTATAATAGCAAATAATTTATTATGACATCTAGTATATAAAGATCTTCTTCTATAATGTTTGATAAAAAGGCTTCTATTTTGTCCTTTACAATGTAATTATAATTCTTCTTCTGTATCTTTACTATATTGTTTTCTATATTTTGCTTGTA